GGTTAATCGAAATTGCTAAATCAAATATCAATCCCTCTTTCTCGCGCGCTTCTTTCTCCGATCGTCGCTGCTCTTCCCGCGTCGGTATTGCTCCCAATCGCCGATTAGATCCTTCTCTTTCTCCGATTCCACAATGGAATATTCCGTCTAAACAGGTGAGCTGTATAATCTCATTCGCTTCCGATTCGTTTCTTTTTTTTTTGTTGTTTCCGACATTTTATCCTGACAGTTTATCACCGATCCTCTTTAGGATCTTCATGTCTGGTCCAGATCTCGTGTTTACAATGATATATATATATTTGCATGTTGTAATCGTTTATCACTATTAGATTATTCAATTTGGTATACATTACGTTTCCATCGTTTGTTGCTAAAATCTGTAATACATTTTATGAATTGTTTAAACAGATTGTGGAAGAGAAAACAGAGTGAATGGCTGTTGTATAGGTTTCTCTAAAAGTTCTTAATAATGGAAGAAAATGAAGAAAAAAAGTTCTCCAAAGCTTCTGATGTACTTAATGCCACAGAGAATACCATAGATGCATTTGATGATGCGGATTTACAAGGGATTAGTTCGGTTGATGCAGTCCTTAAAGACGACAATTTTGAGCAGGTTTCTTTAGGAGATCAAGATAAGCCTGTGACTGAATCACAGGTTGATCATAGTGTACTAGGCAGGTCCTCGTTTGATGATGCCGAGGCGCATAGTATTGGACCGATGGATGATTTGCAAACCGACCAGTTTGAGGAAACTTATCAGTCCGTTTCAGCGACGAGTTTGGATTCTTTCGACCATTCAGAATCTGGATATCCTCTGGTTCAGACCCCAAAGAAGCCTAAGCCAAAGTCTACAATGCTTAACGTTTCTCCAGAGTTATTGCATCTAGTTGATTCAGCTATTATGGGTAAGCCTGAAAGCTTAGAAAAACTTAAGAATATTGTTAGCGGTGTTGAGAGTTTTGGCGCTGGTGAAGAAGATTCAGAGACTACTGCTTTCCTTGTTATTGATTCGCTTCTCGCGACTATGGGTGGAGTCGAGAGTTTTGAAGAGGATGAAGATAGCAACCCTCCTAGCGTCATGTTGAACTCTCGTGCTGCCATTGTTTCTGGCGAGCTTATTCCTTGTCTTCCTTGTTCGGGTGACTGTTTCAATTTTATGTCCCCTAGGACCCGAATGGTGCGAGGATTGCTTGCGATTTTACGTTCTTGCACAAGGAACAGAGCTATGTGTTCGATGGCAGGGTTATTAGGTGTTCTCTTGCGATCAGTCGAGGTGATACTTTCCAAGGACGCCGATATGGTATGGAATGCAACAGCTTTGTTTCACTGTATTCAACATTTAGCTGGACACTCCCTTAGCGCCGAAGATTTGCATAGATGGCTACATGTTATTAAAACATCACTTCAAACAGTGTGGTCAAGTCCGTTGATGGATGCTTTAGAGAAGGCAATGAATGGAAATGAATCAAGAGGACCTGCGTGTAGCTTTGAATTTGTCGGTGAGAGCTCAGGGTTACTCTGTCCGGGAGAAAGTCGTTGGCCTTTTACTAATGGCTATGCATTTGCTACTTGGATTTATATTGAATCATTTGCTGACACATTAAATGCTTCAACCGCGGCAGCCGCAATTGCTGCTGCTTCAGCGGCCAAATCAGGAAAAACATCCGCAATGGCTGCAAATGTACATGGTGAAGGGACTTCTCATATGCCTCGTCTGTTCAGTTTCTTGACACCTGATAATCAGGGGATTGAAGCATATTTCTATGCACAGTTTTTGGTGGTTGAGAGTGGTAGTGGTAAAGGAAGTAAAGCTTCACTGCATTTCACTCATGCATTTAAGCCTCAGTGTTGGTACTTTATTGGCCTTGAACATACATGCAACCAGGGACTTTTAGGGAATTCAGAGAGTGAATTGCGGTTATATATAGATGGATCCTTATATGAGACTCGTCCGTTTGAATTCCCTCGTATATCCAAGCCGCTTTCTTTCTGTTCCATTGGGTCAAATCCTCCTCCTACAACTGCTGGTGTACAAAATCGTCGTCGTCGTCAGTGTGCTTTGTTTGCTGAGATGGGACCAGTTTATATATTTAAAGAACCAATTGGTCCTGAAAGAATGACACGATTGGCATCTAGAGGTGGGGATGTTTTGCCTTGTTTTGGTAATGGGGCAGTTCTTCCATGGTTAGCTACAAATGACCATGTTCGTAATCGGGCAGAGGAAAGTAGTCTTTTTGATGCAGAGCTTGGAGGATACATTCATCTACTTTACCACCCATGTCTACTAAGTGGACGGTTTTGTCCAGATGCTTCTGTTTCTGGAGCAGCAGGTGCCTATGATTATCCTCTCAAATTTTGTTATCTG